AAAAATTAGCTGTCTGCTAGCACCCACACAGATTAACCGTTGTTGACATTTAACATGTTTTCCCAATATTATATAATAAGCTTTTAAACTATCATTCAAAATACTCTCTAAACATAACTTCTACTGTGTTTTGAAGTGATACAATATTTTTCCGATATTTTCTAAGGGTTAGGTAGCTTAGTTCCAATTTTCTTCTGTTATAGGCTTTGCTGCCAACATTGAATATAGATGCACACTTGGCCATTATTAGGTATCATCAGACATTTTAATTTAGTCATGTTTTGATATTGCACTGTGGCTTAATTTGCATTTTCTTGGTAAATAATGACACACAGCAAATTTTTCACGTGCTCCCTTACCACTCATATATCCTCTTTTGCATATGTATTTACATTTTCTTTAAAGATTTTATTTATTTATTTGACAGAGATCACAAGTAGGCAGAGAGGCAGGCAGAGAGAGAGGAAGGGAAGCAGGCTCCCTGCTGAGCAGAGAGCCCGACTCAGGGCTCCATCCCAGGACCCCGGGATCATGACCTGAGCCGAAGGCAGAGGCTTTATTTAACCCACTGAGCCACCCAGGTGCCCCTGTATTTACATTTTTGTTACACTTTTTCTCTTGTATTTTTATGGTACACATTTTTGGAAAAGTTTGATTCTGTTGCGTATGCCATTTTTGTATCACAGTTCTTTTTAGAAAAACTGTTGTGACTTATTATAGAATGAATACATATTGCTCATGGGAAAGAGAGAAAAGAATGAAGAAAACGTAAACGTACTCATAATCTGACCACTAAGAGATAACAAGTCCCTTAGTTTATTTTTCCAGTCTTTGCCTTATGCAGTTTTCCATAATTGAATCAATATTGTATATTCATTTTAGCGTCCCATTCCTTTGTTTCATTTCGTTACCTTATCTTCAACATTTTTGTGCATTGCTAAGTATTCTTTCTATATCACTCTCTCTCTCTCTACACCACCCACAGGAAATTTAAGTTTACCTAGGGTAAATACACACAAAGTAATAAATAATAGAGAACTCCATTTTATAAGGCGGGTATTGGGGAATAGGATAAAGTGGACATGAGAGCTAGGGAAGATTGCTGAGAGCTGGAGCTGTCAGGAAAGCACAGGGAAGATGAAAGACGAGTTAGGCCTTGAGGGGATGGCAGCTTCGTGAACCGGGCAGCATGGAGCAAAGATGCAGAGGCGGGAGGAAGCACGGCTGGGTTGTGTTGGGGTCAAGTGGGTTTGGGCAAGGACTATGTGAGGAGAGCAGCAGGATTGGTTTAGTTTAAAAGATATGGGAGTGGCCAAATATCAGAGGTCCTTCCAAGGCTGACTCCCTGTAGAACTGAAATGTGTTTGGAATTATATCAGATTTAGTGTTCTGGGGGAGAAAGACCCACTTACCAAGAAGACACTTGTTTATGATAACATGAAAAGCAAAACATCACGTGCACACTACCATTTCCAGAAAAGACAGTAAGATCACTGCTGTTGCTAGAAATTGTATAAGCCTCCTGTGGTGAATGGCACATACATTTTGTAATTTTATGCTAATGACACGTATGTGGGATGGGTGTTGTTACTATTTCTGGCACAAGTATGATCCTAGCAGTTTGTAAAATGCATAAACTTAGTCCACATAGATGGAGCTTCAATCTATGGGTCTCCCAGAGCCTGGGTGGCTCAGCAGGTTAAGCACCGGCCTTCAGGTCATGATCTGAGGTCCTGGGATGGATCCCCACGTAGGGCTCTTGCTCAGCTGGAAGCCTGCTTCTCCCTCTCACTCTACCCTTCTCCACCATCCCCCTCCAACCCCAGCCTCCACAAGTGGTCTCTCTCTCTTGTGCATGTGCTCTCAAATAAATAAATAAAATCTTTAAAAAAAATAAATAAGGGATGGGTCTCAACCCTGGCTACATAAGAAAATCAAATATGGAGCTTTTAAAACTTTCAATGCCCACTTCTACACCATCTGCTCTGAATTACTGATTTAATTAATTTGTAAAGGGACTTAATCGCTGATGGTATAATGTGTCTCCTCCTGCCCCACTCCTCCTGCACTTGAGAACCACAATGCTTCACTACCATGGTGTTCTTGGGATGATGGATGATTATGGAAAGCATCAAGACACTTTCTCCAGGAAATGTTTAGATATGAATGCTTAATTTGATTACTTTCTTGAACACATGTTGAATTTCTCCATGAAATTTATTTTCAAGAAATGTACACATGTGCTATGTTTTCTGTACCTTTCATATGTGAGAATATCTTTTTTATTCTATACAAGAAGGATAATTTAGGTAAATGTCACCTTCAGCAGACCAATATTTACTAAAGTCTTATAGCTATTTCTCCCCTCTCCCCTCTGGCATTTATAGTTGCAGAAAGCAAATCTGATGCAAGCATTTTTAATTTAATTAATTTAGATCACTTGTTTATTCTTGAAACTTGATCCTTTCTAGCTGTCATCTCTCATTTTTTTAATCTCTTAATTCCTTGGTTTTCTGATAAGTTCTGAGAGAGCATCTCTTATTTAACTAATTCAACATCATACATTTTTAATTCCTTCACTGACTCCAACAAAAATTCAAACACTCCTGCGATATTTAATTCTAAAATCCTAAAGTTTCCTTATATGACATACTTAGCTTCTCAGTGCAGCCTTTTGATTTCTGAATCTTGTTTCATGGACTTCATATTCTTTCACTGCTACTGGTTATGTCAAGCAGTATAAAAAAATACTTTCCTTAAGTTTTTAGGATACTAGTTACTTACCCATGTTCTAAAATATATTTTCCCAGGGCGCCTGGGTGGCTCAGGGGGTTAAGCCTCTGCCTTTGGCTCAGGTCATGATCTCAGGGTCCTGGGATCAAGCCCCACATAGGGCTCTCTGCTTAGCAGGGAGCCTGCTCCCCCACACCCCCCACCTACTTCTCTCTGCCTACTTGTGATCTCTCTCTCTCTGTAAATAAATAAATAAAATCTTTATATATATATATTTTCCCTTATTTTGTTTTGTTTTCCTTTCTCTATCTAAATGAAACAAGATCTGGTTAGACTCAGTGTCAACTGATGGGCATATAGATTTCCCAGCATGACATTCAGTGTCTGTGGGAAGCTAGCTGTAAGTTAGCTAGAAGGCAGGTCAATAAATGTTCCTTCTAGCCCAATTCTTAGTTTCAAAGAAGCAGTCTTCATCGTAGTGATTCTGTCTGTATTGAATGGCTGGTCTCGGATATTATCCTTCCCAGTGTCAAATGTTCCAAACAAATTTAATAAATGTAAATTTATAACATCCAGTTAGAATTGTTACAAGGGGTTCTTGTGTCTTTACCTCAACCTACATCATTTTTATCTATGGGATCAATATATCCATAATAGAATGTGATAATGTTCTTTTCTCCTCCCTCCCTTTCTTCAGTTGCCAGATTAACTACAAGATGCCCAGTTAAGTTTGAATTTCAGATAAACAAGAAATAATTTTTAAGCATAAGTCTGTCCCACAAGTATTTGGGATATACTTACACTAAAAACAATTATTTGTAGTCCTACTTGCTTTTTGGGACACAGTTATATTAAAATACTGTTTGTAGTTTTTGCAAAACTCAAGTTTCACTGGCCATCCTCTGTTGGTATTTGCTCAATTTGGCAAATCTCTCTTCTCTCCGCTTGTTTTCTGGGAACATCCGTCTCTAATTTGTATAGAAAGAGATATATTCATGGTAGTGTGTATACATGAGACCCAAAAGGCTCTTGACCACTTCAGTCACACAGTGCACCCATGCAGGAGAGGGGCGGCTGCTCAGGTTATTTGCTGGTACTGTTCTGGTGTTTCTGAGCCAAAGGACAAATGGGGTGGGGATTTCTCTGCTCTCTTCAAGATGGCCAGCTTGCTGCCTTACAAAGACCTGGCAGCAGTGGCTTTCCACGGCATTTTTCAATCCAATTCTGTCCATCTTGCAATTGGATATAAGAGCTCCTAGATTCGAAAAATTCAAGTTTATGGTGACGTTTGTTAGTTTTCATCTTTTCGTGTGACAAATCAGGAGAGGCGGACTCTGGGGATATTAGCCAGACATTACTGGAAGTCAGACTCCTGGCACTATTTACTCTGTGTGTGTGTGTGTGTGTGTGTGTGTGCGCGCGTGTGTGTTTGCATGCTTGGACTACAACTTCAGAAGCATTCTTAGAGACCCAAAACAAAGGAGGCAATTATTTTTGGCTTAATGAACCCTGCCAAAATGGAATCAACTGTGATATCTAAATCTATCTCAACAGCAAGGCAGCCTTTTCTGAAAAAGGCTACAGTGATGCTGGATACAAGATTATGTTGCCTAAAGTATGTGTTCCAGGTGGTGCTCTGGTTCACTTTTTGAGTTTTTAACCTGTTGTTTGTCCAAAGACATGTGTTGTCATAATTCAGGGCTATTTGGCCCAGGATTATTTTTGCCCTAATAAGGAATAGCCTGTCAACCGTCTGCTCATCTTCTGCCTGTCTTCTAGCTACCCAACATGACACAGGCATTTTTTACAAGAATTTCTTCTTCCAGCTACTCTTGGGAGATAGTCAATCCTGCCACCCCTGACATAACTTAAAATCATAACCGAGATGAAGGACCATCTGCCACTGGCTGTTTGGCAACCTTAAGAGTCCAGGAAAACAGGCAAGTATAAGAAAACACCTTCAGAATCGCTCTTGACACTCTTAGCTCAACCAGTTCCCAGCTACCAGGTCTTCTTAAATAAATCATGCATTTAGCTCAGTTCAAAGCCCGACAGTGGTTACAGACCTTGCTTTTGTGTAAAAGTGCAATGCCTCGTGCTGTGTTTCATCCTTCCCAAGCACAGGCCAACCCACCTGCTTTGCCCATTTGATTTCTTCCAGCTGGCTTCCCATTTGTCTTGATTTACTCTCAAGGTTTTTGCCTTACCGGCTTAGAGAGGAGGCCTACTCATTCATTTCATGAAGATTATCTTTTTATGGCTGTGTTATTTGGTCAGCAGAACACAAATTTAGTAATAATTATATTTATTTGTAGAACAAGATGATGGGTTTCTTTTGTAAGGAATAATATACTCCTTAAGAGGCAAAGACTGACGAGAATTCACACAGAAAGAATCCTTTCTTCCGCTGTCCTTTGTCAGAGGTGTTGAGGTGAGCTGAGGTGACGCCACATAACCCTCGACCCTGCGAGCCCCTTCTGGAACTTCTTACAATGGGGACAGGCTGTTTGGAGAAAGCAGACCTCTTGAGGAGAACTGTTAAACAGAAGGGTGCTCATTTGAGATCCAGAAATGGAGAGATTAAAGACAGTTTCGACTTGGATCCTGTACGGGCTGAGTGTTCTCCAGTCCTGGGCCTACTTGCTGCTGAGGAAGATGGGGAAGCTGGAAAAGTCGTGACATGAGTGACTTACCTCCATGAACTTCACTTTTCTTGATCTGTAAAATGAAGCCAGTAATTCTGTATGAGCTGAGGTAAGAGCTAAGCTGCTGAAAGAAAGCAATCACAAAATATGTTTTTAAAAAGACAATGGCTTAAATTAGAGGTTTGTTTCTCTGCTTCTCCTAAAATGTTTTAAGGTGGGCAGTGTTGCTCCTCCAAGCCACTGAGGATCGTGGATACCTTCCATCTTGCTGCTGGGTCATTCCATAGGACATGGTCCACACTCACAAGGACAAAGCTGAGTCTCAGTAAATCCAGGCAGCCTGCATGGAGGGAGGAAGGACGAACTCCAGGATGAGCAATTTTAAGAAAGTCTGACTGGCAGAGGTTTGGCTCTTTCCCTCACAGCCCATTGGTCATGTGACTAAGTCCTCAGCAATGGGATGTGAGCATAAAAGCATGAAACGCTGAGAAATATAATCTCAAACAGGGAGTTTATGTGCCCAGGGAAAAGATAAGGATGGGATTTTGAAGGCAAATAGCTACTAACCAGAAACAGCAATCTCAAGACCTAAATGTAAAGATTAAATATTTAAGAAAATATTTTAAGAGTGTTAAGCACGTGCTAAGAACCTACTGCTCAACTAATAAAAATTATTAGTAAAAAAGGGGGGGATTAGAAATGATGTACAGCTCTATACACAGACATGGAGGGAATGGAAATAACTTGAGTCAGATCTGGGAACACCTGAAAGTTAAACAGATCATTTCTGGATGGTTTAATTAATTGAGTGTCACAAAGGAGATAGGGTATGGACGAATTCTCCTTAGAGACCTCTCTAAAACTATGACAAGATGAGGAGTCATTCCTTTTTTGGTTATAGGGACTATGGCTATACTTTGTTTCTAACACAGTTCTTTCTTTGGAAATTATAGGTGGTAGATAATTGCTAGCTTATTAGCTGCTCTTCAACCATATTGAGCATTGAGAGTCCCAAAGTAATAAGCTTAAGAGCAGAATAGACTGACTGGGGTCTTGTCAGTTGAACTGTTCATGTATGGATTTCTGAGTAAGGCATTCTCGAAATTACTGTGATTTCTCTTTATGTACCTTTGGAACAATCCAAGGGTTTGGATGGTATGTGCGCGATGATACACATGAAATATTTGACTCATACAAAATCCATTTAAAAACTTGTAAAGTATCACTGTGCCTTAGACAGAAAAAATGAACATTTGGGGAATTATTTAACAAAAACAAAGTTTTGTGGGAAATAAAATCCACAACAGACTTCTATTTGTGTAACTGTGGTTAGTTAAAAACTCAATTCCATTTGTTACAATTTACAAAATTTTAATTCTGACTTTAACAAAATATATATACATATTTATATGACCATAAGGATACACACTGAAAGTTAAACACAGGTTATTTCTGGTAGCTGTAGATATGGAGGGTTGTTATGTTCTTTATCTTTCTCCAGTATTTTCTTTCCTTAAGAGAGAGATAATTAAAGAGTAAGACTTGAGAATACCTTTTAATAGATCTTCTGACTACAAATGTTCCAAAAGGCTTTTCACATTGTCTGTAAACAAAACAATCCAGTATCCTCATTAGGTGTCCAGGGGAAGTGGGTACATTGTTGGTTGTTTTTTCAAGAGTAAAACTAAAGCGTAGCGTTATTATGTATGGTCCCCCAAGACAGTGGTGGGAATAGGACTGGAACCTGTAACAAGTCCATTCAAGGCCCCAAAACTCATGAAATGTATTGTTCACAGAAACATTATGAGTGCAAAAGACCGACATTTCCTCTGCCATTGTTTCTTTTCTTAATGCTCCCTGGTGCCCCATACTCTTCCAGGAAACAGCTCCCCACTCCTTCCGCTTAATGAACATCAAAAGGCTTAGAAGCCATTTATGTATCCATATGTGTTCATTGTGGAGACTGAAACCAAATCAAGTTTCAAGTTCTCAAGTAGGAATTCCAGTGAGTGCGGCAAAGCTACTCTGGGATATGAAGGGAGGCTAATTTTCCATACCCAGCAAAGTCTAAAGTAATCAATATCCAATAAGAGATCTGTCTTTTAAATTTGACTCTCTATGTCCAGAATAGAGTTCATTGTCTTCATGGTTTCTTCAAACATCCTCATACTACGGATTGAAATCTCTGGCAGTGAATTTTGAATACAAATAATTGAGTCGGGGTTGCAGAGGGGAGTAGAAATTTGTAGTTGTAAATGAAAAGTACTCCTTTAGGAAGTCTTACTACAGAATAGTGTCACTGTTCTGGCCTAGAGGTCTGGTCTCACCCCTTACTTTAGCACGTTTGCTCTTTCCCAAACATTATCTTCTCATTTTTCATAAACAGTAACAAAAGTTAATTTTGTTAATACAAAATTGTAAAAGTGGTCATATTGATTCACAAGAAGAGAATGTATTATATTCCTCCTATATATATAACTTTAATTTACCTATAATGGAGGGACAGGGGAGTGAAGTACAGAAGATACTAATCAACCTACAGCTTACACTGCCTTTTTGAGAAGTTTTTCTTTTATTTGCATTGAAAACCTTAGGTAAAACATGTTTAATTTCCTTTTTCTGTTACTTGTCTACAACTCAGCAATGTGGTAAGACAGGAAGACAATGTATGACTGAAATGTCCTCCAGAAAGGTGAATGCATATTCCCACTCCTCCGTTGTGTGGGGCCCATTTGAACCAATATTTACGGGGGTTCTTTGGTCACAAAAAGTTTACTGTCAACAATGAAATCAAATCTGGCTTAAGAAATCTAAATACTTTCAGTCAAAATAAATTTAGTAAACTTATACCTTGTTTTTCAAAGTGTACTTCATGAAACACCTGTTCTGAGGCATTACTAATAGGTATTATACAAAAACTAGCCAATCTCAATTTTTCAGAAGTACACACACACACACACACACACACACACACACACTCACGTGAACATACTCTAGCCAATGAAACATAAATCCAAGAAAAGAGCTATGGAAATAAGAAATAAGGTTGAGCAAGGAATCAGGAAAATTAATACCTGCCCAAATAATATTTAAAGTAACACTGTGCAGCTAAATGCCTGAGTTAAAGGCTTCTTTAAAAAGAGGAATACATGGCGGGGGGGCGGCGGGGAGGGCACCTGGCTGGCTCAGTTGGAAGAGCTTGCAACTCTTAATCTTGGGGTCAAGAGTTCAAGCCCCATGTTTGGTGTAGAGATTACTTAAATAAATAAAATTTCTTTGGGGCACCTGGGTGTTCAGTGGGTTAAAGCCTATGCCTTCAGCTCAGGTCATGATCTCAGGGTCCTGGGATCAAACCCCACATCGGGCTCTCTGCTCAGCGGAGAACCTGCTTCTTCCTCTCTCTCTGCCTGCCTCTCTGCCTACTTGTGATTTCCATCTGTCAAATAAATAAAATCTTAGAAATAAATAAATAAATAAATAAATAAAATTTCTTTTAAAAAAGGAGGGGTTCATGGGAACTTGTTTCAGAAACTGGAATAATTAGCCTCTGCCTACCTTCCTGGCATCTTTAGATTTAAGTATGAAAATAATACCATGGTGCATCTTACCTGAAGAAAAATGAGACCAGATATCTGGGAGCAAGACCCAAAGTAGGAAGTGAGAGGTTGTTGCTAGGTCAATTCTATGAATTATAAGTATGCAAAAATCATGCAGATTAAATTTGGACATTCGGAAGTCAAACTTTGTACTATTTATAACACAAAGAATTAGTCATTCATTTTCTAGAAGGGGATTATTACTTTGTAGTATGGAAAGAATATTTTCTTCCTGGGGGAAATGCAGATTGTAAAGCGCCACTGTGCATTTTCTGGACCATGCTTCTCTTAAAGGCTATAGTTCCAGAGAATGACAAGAACAGTACATGTCATGATCTTGGCAGCCTAAGAAAAATTCTGGTTGAAGCTTATCACCCTTCTCCATTCTCCAAAATACACAAACATCTCTGTAGGAAATATACAGAATTATTGTCTTTGGATGGTGACTTGGTTTCCTCTTTTTTATACTGTTCCATAGTTAGCAAATTTTAGGTTCATGGTTATTTATTTTTTACTTGTGGAAAGGTGAAAATGTCTTACTTTGTATTTTAATAGGGAATCATGAAATACTTACACATATATTTTGAAAAATACAATTTTCTACCAACATATCAGGGAAAGAGATAAGAAAGTTGCACACCAGAAATGTTTGAATTGAAACATTTGAAATGTAGACCAAAGAAATTTAGCTAACTTTCTAGTTGTAGCTTTGATAAGACAGGCTTAGACATGGTTAAGACATGTTAAGATACCTTAAGAAATGTGGATATTAAAAAATAAACTTTTGTTTTCTATTTTGTATTACCTAGGATTTTGTGCTTAATGTCCTGTTTCTATAGCCATGCTATTTAGGTAGAAGTTGTTCACTCCAGAATTTGTGTGATCAAATCTATTATCTCTCTGACTATTTAGTTTTCCCTAATTTCAAATATCTATCTTTTTCTCTCAAAACATGTGTAAGGGCATTGTGAGTGCCCTGAAATCCTTTTGGTGTGTGTCATGGAAAAAAGAAAGGAAGGAAGGAAGGAAGGAAGGAAGGAAGGAAGGAAGGAAGGAAGGAAGGAGGAAAAACAAAACTTATTGCAAATGATGCTAAAAATTCATAATGTTGAATAGCCTCCTATGATCTACACATGCTTGAGAGAAGATAAGAAACCAATCACTTTCTCTGTGACAAACACACAAGGAGCTTTACAAGTTAATTGAAATAAATTTCAAAACAGACAATTATAAATAATATATCTACCCTAAACCTTCAAAATCTCAAATCTTTAAAATGCCTTGCCTTTTTTGCAGCATGAAAAAAGGGAGTTTGGGAGATATGCTTCCAACCCTGAGATGTTGATGGGATGTACCTTTTCCAGACCTGCAGGAACCTTATCTCTGGCATGCCCTTGGTTATATAGACTTCCCTTCATTCGTTTGAAATTATGACTCCACACAGACCCCTATAAACTTCATTCGGAGGAAAAGAAACATCTTTCTATATAGCCAATTATTTATCTCTTTACTCTAAGCCTGCCTTCTCTCTCCTCCTTATCTTACAGAAGTATCACATCATACATTGAATATCTATGAAAACACTGTGCACCAGGCTTGGGCCTCCCATTACATACTCTCTGTTTCCCATGTTGACATCTTTTTTTTTTTTTTTTTAATTTATTTGAGAGAGAGAGAGAGAGAGATCATAAGTAGGCAGACAGGCAGGCAGAGAGAGAGGGGGAAGCAGGCTCCCCACCAAGCAGAGAGCCCGATGCAGGGCTTGATCCCAGGACCCTGAGATCATGACCTAGGCTGAAGGCAGAGGCTTAACCCACGGAGCCACCCAGGTGCCCCTCCCACGTTGACATCTTAAATTCTCTTATTTAGCCCTCCTCTCCTCAGAGTACTGCCTTTGGTTTCTATGTCTTCCAAAAAAGTTCTCTCATTCAACCACAAAAACCTTCCTGGGTAAAACGGAAGTGACAGAAAATATGGCACAGTAGAAACAGCATGAGCTCTGCGTCAGAGAAACTTAAACTTAGGTTGAAGCCCTGGCTCCTCTGATTACCAGCCATGTGAACTTAAATGAGTTGCTCTCTCTCCACCTCAATGTCCCCACCTACTGTATATGGTAGTATGCCTGCTTCCCAGAGCAGTTAGAGGCATTCAATGAAATATAATATAAATGGTCTTACACAGTGCCTAGAACAGGGGAAACAATAAACAGTAGTAATTCCAATGCTCAAAGATAGTTTCCACTTCAGTTCATACGGGCAGCTTCAGAATGGTCAGGTGACACTTTGTGCTCTCTTACGGGCACGTCCATTATGTAGACAGCCTACTCAACCAGCTCTCACTGTAATAATGAATAAATGAAATACAGTCTACACTCGGGAGGGCTTCTCTTCATTGTTGTAAATGTAAGAAAGCCCTCTCTTTTCCTCTTCTTCTGGTCTATAAGTTAATTACAGTTTCATATCCGCCCCATCCTTTTGTTTGATCTTCCCTGCAGTTTCTTAAATTGAAAAATACCAATAAATTTAGATTAGCCATAACGAAATCATGGTTTTCCTTCCTTTTGCCATTTCCTTCCTTTTCATCTTCTTGTAATTTAAACTTTCCACATCCTAGAGTGAGAAATATGAGTTCCCAGTTTTTCCATAGCCTCAATAAATGGGCTGGAAAATGTTTAACGTACCGCTTGAACCAATGAATTTTAATGGTTTCCCCACATCCTCCTGAAGATTTTCATATTTAGCTCTTCACTTTGTCTGGTGTCTTTAACATCCCAGTCTCATCATAATGAATTGAGCCTGTGGTATCAATACTAGAAGAGCTATTTCTTAGTTTAAATGGTACCAATGATACTTTGCAACTAAAATTAATTTTGCATTATTATGTTCACACAGTTCTTTCTCATTCTCTCTTTGTTTCTTGTTTGCTTGTTCTGAAATAAAAACTCCTACAATATTTCTTCTCTTTACTCTTAGTGGAACCCAGATGTGGTCTAGGATCTAGGATCTAGAATTAATCCTTAACTTGCCCAGGGACCCAACAGGTACCCAGCTTTAAAGATGTTTTTCTTATACTTAAATCTTACTCAAAACCTTACTCAAACGCATCTAGAGAAGTTGCACTCCAGGCATGTCAGATTTTTATCAAAGTGTTTAAGCTTTGTTTTTTATCATGTAAGGGATATGACTTGTGAGTTTTCCTTGATCAGTGAGAGAAAGTTGACCTTTTGTGCTAATTCCACTTCCTGGTGACTCAGCCGTCTTTCTCTTGGGCTGGTCTCTTTGCTCAGCGCCAATAACTTCTCACATTCCACTGATTCAGCACCTACCTCTCCTTATCCAAGTTCTTCTTTAAACCCATTATACCAGCATCATCCTTGATGCAGTGACTTCTTTGTGTGGCCAGTGACTTAATTTTTCAAAGCCTCAGTTTCCGCTTAGGAAAAAGTAAAATGAAAATAAAAACAACATACCATTGATCATCTTACTAGAACATATTAAGTGGGAAAAAAATACAAATGAGAGTTACTAGCAATGACAATCTTCTCCAGGAAGGAGGTAATGGTAAAATAATGAGAATTCATTTTATCACAAAAACTCAACATCCGGGCAGTGACAAATAGGGAGTAATTTCTTTTGCCCTATCATTTTCCTCCAGGAATTTGGCCTGTAGTTATCCAGGTTCCATTTTTCTTTATGTATTTCCAGTTCAAAATAGTGGAATGGAAAGAAGTAAAAAAATTTCCCAAGACTTTTCAAAACTTCCGTATGGATTTAAAGTGGATAGGGAAAAGCAGTACCAGGTACTGATTAATTTCCTCAGCAAATACTTACCAAGTGCCATTTTGGTGTTCTGTCACTGCTTCTGTATGTGGAAAGGAAGTATTCCTCTGAGCCATTCTCACTTCGTAGAGGTCAGCTGTTCAAGGAGCAGAGCACATACATATGTTTCCACAACTACAGAAAAAGGATACACTAAGGATCCTACATCTCTATTCACTGATTTCAAGAGCTGAGCTAAGCACTTTTATAAATAGCAAAAAGAAATAATTAGACTATGATTCCAGTAAGAGTGTGCACTGATTTCACACTCTCCTTTACTATGGTGTATTTTTAATAAGGTCTGCCTTTGAATTAGGTTTGATTAGGTCTGATCATTTTTCATGCGTTTTACTTCCTTGTAGCCTAGAATTACCAGTTGTTTTTTTTTTTCTTTTCATGATTATAAAGTCTTTGAATAAAATATCTAGTATGCCAGGCTTTTAGAGGAATAACTGTGTGTCTACACTATCAACTTTTTTTTTTTAAATAGGAAGATATTTAGAATTAAGGAGTTTTCGTGAGGTCTAATTAGGTCTCTTTGCAATCCTAACAGAAGAATGGTAGAATATAAATCATTAGATGAGATCATCATTTTCATCTAGAACCCTGTATCTCTAAAAAATGAGTGTTCCCCAAAGTGAGCACCATTTTTTTTTAAACTGAGTGTGTTTTCTAGCACTTAACACTTTATACTTTACCTAACATGATTGAGATTCATTTGACCTAGGAATCATGGTATTTATCCCTTACATGTATTTTTACCTCTTCTAACCTTAAAGTACAATTAAATTAATAGAATATATGTGCAAAATTTTACAGTTGCCAATTATAATACTATTTTGAAATATAAATAATTAATACTTTGGGAAGATGGGATGGTTTCATGGGAAAAGTACTGGATGAAGTTAGGAGACCTGAATTCTACTTTTGGTTTTGCCACTCACGGGTGGTATGAACTTGGAAAAATCACTCAATTTCATTTAAATTTGGTTCTTTATCATAAAGCAATAAGGCTGGATCCTTTCAGTGCTAAGATTCTAAAATAATAAAGATAGGCCCCTTTCCTTTTCCAAGTCAAACAAACTATCTAAATATGCTGAGCGATGAAGGAGCGCCTGGGTGGCTTAGTTGGTTAAGTGTCTGACTCTTGGTTTCCGCTCAGGTCATGATCTGAGGGTTCTGGGCTCAAGCCCTGTGTCAGGCTCTGCACTCAGGGCATAGTGTGCTTGGGATCCTCTCTCTCCCTCTCCCTCTGCTCCTTCCCATCATGCTGTCTCTCAAATAAATAAATGAATTTTTTAGATAGATAGGCAGATAGATAGTGATGGAACTCTTATGAGGGAGCTAAAGAACTACTTTCCATTTTTAAATATTATTTCTGTTTGAGATAGGAAAATACATAAAAACAATAATCTCACTGCTCAGATACTTACTTGGAAAAATACATGTACCGGGTTTAAAAAGAAATCCAGACACTGGAGGCAACAAATAAAATGAAAAGTCAAAGTCTTCAGCTCCATCCCCAATGGCCCCAAACCATTTCTTAGGAGATAAATACTGCTAATATTTTGCTCTGACTCCTTTAAAAATCATGGCATACTAGAAGATACATGTATGTGTTGCTTAAGTATTTCCTAATATACCACAAAATTGCATGCGTATCATATTTTTAAAAGATAAATCCGTGGTTTAGGGAATATTTTGTAACATTAGGGAGTGGCTAAAGAACTTTAAAATTTATTTTAAAAGCCTAAGCATTATTGTAAATAGTGTTTTCCTGTCCTACATACAAAGTAAGAACAAAGGCATGTTTGGAAACAGGCCCATGGGTATTCTCTGATAAACTTCCCTCTTAAATAGGTATAGCACTGTGGAATTGAGATTGTTTTTAAGCAGGTTTGAATATTATGCTCAATTTATTAATCCAAATAAAATAAGTTGGGATGTGATTATTTTTCTTCATCAAGTAATTATTTTCCTCAAAGTTTAAGTGTAACACAAAAAGGACAACCCAAATAGCCAAAGCTGGGACGAGTTTAGTGGCCTCAACACACCACCACCAATTTAATGATTCAGACAGTTCTTTTGGAAAGATCTCAAATGTTCTCTGAAAAGGCAGTGCAGTTTCTGAAAGCCCCACAGGAAGACCTTAATGGTAACAATGGAACCATCTGTTCTGGAAAACAGACTCTGAAATGAATTATAGTTGGGATGAGAAGATCAAGCCCTATTCTATATTTGTGGGTAACCCAAGATATATATCACAGCTGTTAGGGGCAAATTTATAGGGCTCCTGGAGGTTATATTTGTGATTCATAATGGCAAGATGAGCTCAATATTTAACCTACAGGAAGTTAGATTTACCAACATTTAGCAACTGCAGGATTCATACTCTCAAAGCAGAAAGTATATGAAATCTTCCTTAATGTAAGGGAGCAATGAGAGTGTACCAGGAAAGATAGCAGCAGGAGTCATTTCTTTAGTCAAACCAGCATCATAACTCAAGGATAAGAGAAGTCATCTTTAAACACAAAGAAAACCTCTGCTTGTGTTTATTAAAGACCACTGAAAAAAAGGAGCCTTCTACACCCCTATATTCATAAATATATGGCAGCATGTCTTAGGAATGCAGACTCGGGCTAGGCCTCCTCTGTTCAAACCCCAACTCTGAACCTCAATTGCTATACTATGTAGGTCAAGTCTTTAGTCTGGCTGGCCCCACCTAAGAAATGGGCATGGATAAAGATAGTACCTAGCTCAAAGATTGAGTATGTTAATACATCTAAAATACCTGCCTGGCACACAGTAAGAGCTATGTGACACTTGTTATTTTCATTCTTACTCAGTAGGTCTATACCAAGACCATGGTAACGTTCCAAGTAAAAACAACAAAAATATCTTTAAGTTGAAAAATAATTCATCCAAAACAACGTGACTGTTAATACACAAAAATGAAAACTTTAGGGGTGCGTGGGTGGCTCAGCCATTGGATGTCTGCCTTCGGATCAGGTCATGGTCCCGGGGTCCTGGGATCAAGCCCCGCATCAGGCTCCCTGCTCAGCGGGAAGCCTGCTTCTCCCTCTCCCACTCCCCCTGCTTATGATCCCTCTCGAGCTGTGTTTCTCTCTGCCAAGTGAATAAATTAAATCTTTTTAAAAAAGGAAAGAAAATTTTAGGGGAAGGGAAGGAAAAACAAATAAGACAAAAACAAAGAGAGAGGCAAACCACACAGAATTCTTAACTATAGGAAACAAACCAAGGGTTGCTGGGGGGCGGGTGATGGGGTATTTGGGTGATGAGCATTAAGGAGAGCACTTGTAAAAACCACTGGGTGTTATAGGCAACTGACGGATCACTAAATTCTACCTCTGAAACTAATAATATACTATATGTTAATTAAATGAATTTAAATTTACAAATTTAAAAAAAATTTAAAGTTAAAAAGACTAGTATTCAGCCTTTAAATTATGAATGTATGTGCAGACTATTTAAATATATTGTATAAAGGCTTATGTTTGTGAGCTTAAAAATCCACCAGCTGTCAATCCATTTTTGCATAGAGTGTGCATACAAATAAAAGTGAAATTGGTGAATTTATTTTAAAAATACATTTTACAGCTTTTCCTAAGAATCCCTTAATGAAAAGGCAGCAAAAAGATAATGAGGAAGAACCAACCAGATGTTGGTTTCCCCTAAAATTTGCCAGACTTTTACAGCATCATTAGGGTAGATTTCCATTTAGGTCTCCACAAGTTTAAAAATAAGTGGGACATTTGGATCTAGAAGAGAGCAGAGATTAAAGGCTTGGAAACCAAAACCTAAGAGGAAGGGATTGCAGAAATGAAGTTCGTTGGCCAAAAAGAAGAGAGGGCTGTGGGTGACTTCACTGCAATCTTATTGTATATAATATGCCTTCTAAAGGGGTCAGAAAGCAGATGTTGTTCTCCAGTGAAAATGGCATGCAATGGAATGGGAGACTTTGGGTCTGACTTGATAAAAGTCTTTTTAAAGAGTTAACAAAAATTTTCTTGTAAAGAGTTGTCAGACAACTAAATCTTTGTTCATTCAACCAATAATTATTCCATTCCTTAGTTCCTGTATTAAGTGCTAAGGATTAATTGATAGGTAATAATTCAGAGGTAGACATAGATATAGCTGTATTGACTGGGAATTTCCCTTTGTGCCAGAATTGTCCTTGCAGTAGACTTGGTGAACTATGTGTACTAGAGAATGACAAAAAATGGACTTCCAGGTGGGGAAGGCGGCAGTGGCATGTTCCGAATTCCCTCCTCTGAGACACAAGAAGGCGTGAGTTTCCCAAGAATACCATAGGAAGAATGCACATAGTGGGGAGTACTTTCATTCATACCCCACCCAAAAGGGCTGACCTGAGGGCAAGAAAAACCAGCAGCAAGATCCCCTGTGATGTATCACAGGAACTGAGACAGCTTTGGGCCCAAAGGGGGAAAGAATGGATGACCCCGCCTACTCCGAAGGCAGACTTCCTTTGGAGAACCACCTGCCTAAGAGCTCATCCAGGAGGACTTTCTCAGGAGCCTCATGAGGGAGCCACCATCTAAATGTCTGCCTCCCAGAGGCAGTAATAACCGGTCTCAGATTAGCCAGAGAAACCACAGGAACCAAAAAGCAACAACAACAAAATGACACAGAGGCCAGTGTAGTGCTATTATCAGAATGTGCAAGTGCTCCTGTGAGACAAAACAGTCGTCTATTATCTCCCAGTCAAGAGAGTATTAATGCGCACCATTATGCTTCTCCTTGCTAAGAAATGCTCTGAAGGCTATATACATTTTGCATTATTTCTTCCTCGGAGTCTGTCAGAAAAAATTAAATCATAATTCACATAACTGTGGCTTTATGCATATTTGTTGTATTCTAACGATTGGAAACTTGGTAATCAAACGACTCTGTCTACTACCACTCAGCATATCTGCGTAACCAAATACTGTGTTCTCTTTCACAGCAGTTCTCACACTCCCACCAACACGCACACTTACTGGTAATTATGGTGGATGCTGCAATGGGTCATCCAGTGTTCTGGGAATTTAACCTCAGACACAGTAAGCAATAAACTAATGATTAATGGAAGATATATTTTTGGTTATCAAAAATTAATATGATACAAATTTCTAAAATGAAAGCTCATCTCCATCCTTGCCTCAATTCTATTATTATTAGAATTATTTCATCTAAATTAGGAGGGTAGCAAAGAAGTTGATTTTCTCTACTGCTCTCCACCACTAGCTCCCAGCTAAGGGGAAATGTGGTCAAGTTACCATTAGACTAAATGGCAGCAGAAACTAACAGATCCATGTCGGCCCCTACCATTTCTCCTTCTCTCTGATTTCCCCAGCTGTGTCTGGGAATCAACTGCTAGTTCATCAGAATCAGAAGAAGTGGAAAAGCACCGCACACTAACTCATGAACGGTGCCTGGAAAAAGTTACTCCTTTCATTATGTAACAAGATGTAGAAATTCCTGAAACAAGCCTATTTCATTTAATTCGAAAACCTCTTTTTGGAATAAGTTGTGTGTTTCATTATATAGCCAATTGGTATCCGTGAAAAATGTGATTCTGATCAACTGTTCTGGCTTGGATAACTCGAAGAAATTCTCTGAAATGGCAGCCAGGCACAGTTTCCTATGTGACTCTCACTGGTGAAGGAACATGCTAATGTGTAACTTGGAGGTGGCTGGGAAAATTTTTAGAAAACTTAATTGAAGGCCACCTGAGTGGCTCAGTTGATTAAGCATCTGCCTTCGGTTCAGGTCATGACCCCAGGGTCCTGGGATGGAGTCCCACATCGAGCTCCCCGCTCAGAGGGAGTCTGCTTCTCCCTCGGCCTGCCATTCTCCCTACCTGTATTCTCTCTCTCTCTCTCTCTCTCTGTCAAATAATTTTTTTTAAAAACAACCTTTAAAAAAGCTTAATTGAGGGAGTTTTTAGGTTGGATTCCCCCCAAAATCAGACCCTGAGACAATGATTTGAGTTGACAGTTTGAGAAGTGAACTTAAGCAGCCCTGGTAGGAGAAAAGGAAGGAAGGAAGCCAGCAGAGGATATATTCAGAGATGCTTACTGCTCCTAGGCAAGTAGAGCTTAATCCCTCCGGGTCAAATACACCTCAGAGTTATCCCACCTGAGACAGGAGGAAGCTGGAGTATTTCTCTACCAACTCCTATCACTGGTTTGTTAAGGGATGCTTCCAGGGATGTTCACTACCCAGATCTTCCATGCTTCCTCCCACATCTCTAGGAGCTAAAGGAGCTCTTCCAGGCAGAAAAGCTCACGGGTAGAGAGGTGCAAAAGTCTGCAGTGAGAAGCTAACTCTATGGGCACTGAGGGAAAAAACAGCGGGGCACCAACAGCATCTGCTAGAGAAATCATGCAATCCCCTGTCTTATAGCCTTTGGAAAGAAACAGAAAGAATACTTAAAATCCGTTCCTTTTGGGAAATGGATTGTCAGATTTATCATAATTTTAAGATTCCAGGCCTCTAGAAAAATTCTAATGCCATTGATAAATAAAAGCAAACCATTATGAGTTTACAAAGAAAGAATTTTAGGAAGACTTTACGTTTAACATTGAATATTTATAAAACTTATATTGTAAATAATTAATATTGTTAACACATCCATACTGCCCAAAACCAACTATAGATCCAGTGCAATCCCTATCAAAATTCAAATGGCATTTTTTACAGAAATAGGAAAAAAAAATCCTAAACTTCACGTGGAACCACAAAAGGCCATGAATAAGTACAGCAATCCTGAGAAAGAACACGAAACTGGAGGCATCACACTTCGTGACTTCATACTATACTACAAAGCAATAACATTTAAAATAGAATGGTACTAGCATAAAACCGAACAGAGACCAAGGGGTCAGGATCAAGAGCCCAGAAATAAACCCATGCACTTACCAGTAGCCCACAAGGGAGCCAAGAATACTCATTGGAGAAAAGATAGTCTCAATAAATGGTGCTGGGAAAATTGGATATTCACAAGCAAAATAATGAAACTAGAACCCCATTTTATACCATTTACAAAAATTACCTCAAAAGTGGATTAAAGGCCTAGCGGTAAATCCTAAGACCATAAAACTCCTAAAAGGAAACATAGGAGAAAAGCTTCTTGACAGTGGTCTTGGCAATGATTTTTTAGATAGGACGCCTGAAACACAAGCAACAAAAGCAAAAATAAGTAAGTGGGGCTACATCAAGCTAAAAAACTTCTGCATAGCAGAAAGAAATGATTATTAAAATGCAGAGGCAACCTAAAGAATTGGAGAAAGTATTTGCAAACCACATATCTGATAAATAGTATCCAAATTATATAAAGGATGCACATAACTCAATAGCAAAGAACAAATACTCTAATTTAAAAATGGGCAAAGGACCTGGAGAGACATTTCCCCAAAGAATATATTCAAATGGACAATAGGTACATGAAAAGGTACTCAACATCATCAAGGAAATACAAATCAAAACCACAATGAGAAGGGCGCCTGGGTGGCTCAGTGGGTTGAGCCTCTGCCTTCAGCTCAGGTCATGATCTCAGGGTCCTGGGATCCTGCCCCGCATTGGGCTCTCTGCTCAGCAGGGAGCCTGCTTCCCTCCCACCTCTGCCTGCTGCTCTACCTACTTATGATATCTTTCTCTGTCAAATAAATAAATAAAATCTTAAAAAAAAAAAGAAGAAAAAGAAAACCACAATGAGATACAACCTCACAAACGTTAAAATGGCTATTTCCAAAAAGAACAAGAGATAACAAATGCCAGTGAGGATACAGGGAAAAGAGGGATTTTTTAAAAAGGGGGATACCTTGTACACTGTTGGTAGGAAAGTAAACTAGTACAGTCACTATGAAAAACAGTATGGAGGGTCCTTAAAAAATTAAAAATAAAACTACCATATGATCCAGCAATTCCACTTTTGGGTATGTATCTGAAGGAAATAAAATCATTATCTCAAGTACCCTCATGTGCATTCAGTATTGTATGTAATAGTCAAGAGAGGGAAACAACTGAAGTGTTCATCAATGGACGAATGGATAAAGAAAATGTTACACGGACAATTATTCAAACATAAAAAAGAAGGAAATTCTGCCATTTGTGACAACATGGATGAAACTTGAGAACATTATGTTAAATGAAATAAGTCAGAGTGAGGAAAACAAATATTGTATGATCCCACTTTTATGTGGAATCTTAAAAAAACCAAAGTCATAGAAACGGAGAACAAATTGGTGCTTGTCATATGTGCGGGGAGTTAAAGAGTACAGAAAATGGATGAAGGTGATCAAGAGGTATGAACTTCCAGATATGAGTAAGTTGTGGGGATGTAATGTACACCACAGGGGCCACAGTTAACATTACTGTCTGGTATATTTGAAAGTTATTAAAAGAATAGATCTTAAATGTCCTCATCAGAAGAAAAAGCTATAACTGTGTGAGGTGATACATGTTAACTAACTTTATGGTGGTAATAATTTTGAAATATATACAAATATCATAATGTATACCTAAAACTTATATAATGATATATGTCAACAATATCTCCATATAGCTGGGGGGAAAAAGGGTATTGTAAATAATGATTATTTACAAAAAATATGCACTTAAAATTGAAGGTAGAAAGTGTTCATTTTTAAAATGTTATGATAAAGCAAGCTGGAATCTATGTCATGGACAATTAAGTGTATTTGTTTAAAAGCTTAACATAAACGTTAATTTATTTGCCCATCGTTTTCATAATTCAGTCTTAGAAATCAGTCTCAGTAATATGTTTGGAATTCTCTTTGTGACCTATATATATATATACATTTTTCTTTTCTTGCCTCAAGTGTAAAGCCCCCAGTTTTCCTAGCTTTGTAAATGATGGCATCAAGTTCACCCCAAATACAGCATGTGCTGTTCTTAACTCTTACTGTGGCTTCCTCTCCAAGTCACGTTTGCTACAGAGGGTTCAAGCCTGAGAAGCCTGCACAGAGCTAGGGTAAGCCTGGAGGTCTGTGATTGGCCTGTGACTTGCCTGGCACCCACGTCGCCAGCGGGCCACGTGCCTCCTCTCATCGTCTCGAGAGAGACTCTCGGCGTTGCCAAACGGCCGTTCTTCCACGGACTCAGTCTGTTGGGCCTGTTGAGCTAGTACCGTCAGCACCATAGTTTGCATAAAACCTTTATTCAGACGGTGCCTTGCAGTTTACCAAGTTCTTTTATACACATTAATTCATTTAATCTTCAAGATATACGAAGTATGAATTATTATATTTCTTTCACTGGTGTGGAAACCACAATTTTAAGAAGATTAAATAAATTCCCCATTTGGCAACCAAATAGAAAGTGATAGAGCTCATGTCCAAACTCACTTCTTAGAGGGAGAATCTTAGGTCTCTTTTCACCAGCCAGGTCTTCTTTTCTTCTGGTTCCTAGGGGACAATATACATCGCTGTACATTTAAGGCAACAAATCACTGAACCGCCAAGTCTGAACTGCGACACAGATCTACCTTAAAATTAAGCTAAGGCAGAATTACAGTCTATGTGTTGTAACGAGCACTGGGTATTATAAGAGACTGATGAATCACAAGACCTGCTCCCCTGAAACAAATAATACATGACATGTTAATTAAAAAAAAAGAATTACAATGCACACATTTATTATCAGAGATCTGATAGCAAGTTCCTTTTGTTTTCTAAACCTGAGTATCCCACTCTCTTTTCTTCTAAGACTTCCACTCAGATAAAATTTGAATGACATTTACTAAGTATATTAATTATCTGTATAACAAATTACCCCTAAATTTAGAAGCTTAAAGTAATTATCCATATCTCATAGGAGATCATCACGATCCTACCAGGTGTTACAAATCCAGGAGCCACATAGCTGGGTGTTGTTTCTCTTAAGGTTGCAGGGAAGTCGTTGGCTGGGCTGCAGTCATCTGGGGCCGGAAGATCCACTTTCAGGATCACTTGTGTCCCGGGCTATTGTGTGGACATCTTTGTTTCTTCTGCAGGTACCTTTCCATGGGCTGCACAGGTGTTCTCATGATATGGCAGCTGCCTTCCCCCACAAAGCAAGTGATAAAAAAAAAGAAAAAGAAAAAGAGAGCTAGAGTTCCAGGTGGTAATGATAGTCTTTTACAACCTAATCGTAGAATGACATTGAAAATGCATTTAATACATCTAACCTACCAAATGGCTTAGCTTCGCCTAGTCTACCTTAAATGCTGTATTTCTCTGTATTCTGTTCGCCACACAGACTATAATCCTGGTACAGTGTGGGGGAGACCCTAAGAGGGCGTGAGTACCAGGAGTGAGGGGACACTGGGGGCCCTTTGGGAGGCTGGCTCTCACACTGAGGAGCATACAGAAATAGCAGCATGTTAATCTCCCTGTTGCTCCTCAGAGGCCGATCACAGTATCTATACATAAAGCAGAATTTTGTCCTGTTATTTGTTATGTCATCTCCATGAGATTAAGCTCAAAACAGATCCTAATATAGAATTAACAAGACATGAAGATTCCACCACTACCCTCAAAGAACAGAGAAAATATGCCATATAGCATAAATCAAGAGAGGGTCAATAATGACGCAAACTCAAAAAAGCAAATGGGCTTCCAGAAATAATGGCAAGGTGCAGTATACTCGGGGAAGAACAGAAGTTTGCGACAGCAATGATTTGTTCTCAAAGTGGCTATCGATGAAGCCACTTGTCCAAAGGGCTGGAAGAAAGAGAAAAAGGTCAAGATAGACTTGACTTCCTGCCTGAATTTCTTCAGTGGCTTCCTATTTGGCAATAGGCCAACTCCTCAGCACGGTTTACAAAACCCCTTAGCATGGTCTGCCCCTCAGGAGTGGCACTGCCAAGCACCACACTGCCTCGGAGCCCCCCTTTCCCAGCCCATCAGCAGGGCTTCAGCCTCCCTGCCTACTTACCGCCCCGGGGCACGACTGGCTGTGTCCCAGCTACACAGGCACACTTTTTCATTCATTCTAGCTCTTTCAAGGAACACCCTGCCCATCGTTCATCTGCAATCCTACCTACTCACCTTTACACATTCCATTCAAAGATCACTTTGGAAAGCATTTTCTGACTCTCCTCTTTGTGACTCCTTACCCCAGCCCTAATATCCTCACTGTAAATGCTTTTACACCTAGCATGGCACTCACTCAATTTAACTGATTCTAATATAGATGGCCCTTGATTTACAATAGTTCAATTTACGATTTTTCGACATTACAATGGTACAAACATGATATGCATTCCCTAGAAACTATACTTGCAATTTTGAATTCTGGTTTTCCTTCCAGGTTAGCTGTAGGTGACATGATCCCCTCCTGTGACACTAGGCAGTCACGATGAGCTGAAGCTTCCATTCAGCCACACCATCATGGGGGTAAACAATCAATACACTTAACAACCATTCTGTGCCCATACAGCCATCCTGTTTTTCACTTTTGGTACAGCATTCAATAAACTATATGAGGTATTCGACACTATTATTACATAGGCTTTGTGTTGGGAGGTTTTTGCTCAACTGTAGGCTAATGTAAGTATTCTGAGCATTTAAGGTAGACTAGGCTAAGCTAAGCCATTTGGTAGGTTAGATGTATTTTTTTTTTTTAAGATTTTATTGATTTATTCAACAGAGAGAGAGAGAGAGATCACAAGTAGGCAGAGAAGCAGGCAGAGAGAGAGGGGGAAGCAGGCTCCCTGCTGTACAGAGAGCCCGATGTGGGGCTCGATCCCAGGACCCTGAGATCATGACCTGAGCTGAAGGTAGAGGCTTAACCCACTGAGCCACCCAGGCGCCCGGTAGGTTAGATGTATTAAATGCATTTTCAACTTATGGCATTTTCAATTTACAATGGGTTTATTGGGATATAACCCCATCATAAAGAAGATCTCTATGCACATTCCAATCTTACAGTGGAATAACAGAGTTTATTCTGACATCTTTTTTTTTTTCCCTTGGTGGTGGGTAAAATAATAATGCACCTAAAAAAAAAAAATTGTTTCTTGAATTTGATGAAATTTATTTGCACTTCTTTTTATGTTTATTCCTTCCCTGAGACTAAAAAGACCCTGAGGTCTGAGATCATTTCTTATTTATTTCATATCCCAATTGCCTGTCATAGTAGGTTCCCGTAAGTGTTAAAGTACATAAATGAAGGACACAGATTCTTAAATAGCTAATAAGTAAAACAAGCTTCACTGTTCTCTACCTTGTCCCAGGAAAGATGATCCTGATTAGCTATGGGATTGCATTCAAAAGGGTCAGTTTAGGGGTGCCTGTGTGGCTCAGTGGGTTAAAGCCTCTGCCTTTGGCTCAGGTCATGATCCCAGGGTCCTGGCATCGAGCCCCATATCGGGCTGTCTGCTCCTCAGGGAGCCTGCTTCCTCTTCTCTCTCTCTGCCTGCCCCTCTGCCTACTTGTGATCTCTGTTTGTCAAATAAATAAATAAAATCTTAAAAAAAAAAAAAAGGGTCAGTTTAGGGTAAAGGAATAAAGATTCCCTAATCTGTTGACCCTGTGACATCATTTAAAACATTACAACTCCCTTCTTTTCCTGACACTTCCTGGAATTGATATTGAAAACCCCAATCTCTTGGCAGGACACCATGGCTTTCAATAAAGGACTTATAATGGTGTGTATACACCATTATAAGTGTATATATATATATATGTATATATAGATATATATATAATTGTAAGTATATATATTATATATACCATTATATATTATATATATCATTATATATCTATACACACACATACATACTTACAAATACAGTTGGTGAAATGTCTGATCAATGGAGTCAGACATGCTTGAACTGAAGTTCAGGTTTTAGTATTTATTAGTATGTGACCTTGTTGTTTACCACCAGGAACCACGGTTTAATCCTTTGTAAAACGGGGGTAATATAACTAATTACTCAGGGTAGTTGTGGGGACTAATTACATTAACAAATATAAAACATCTGATCCAGAGGCTGGTACAGGGAGGTAGACATTTAATTTTCAGACCATCTTTAGGTCCCCAGCACCTGGCACCTAACAACAAAAATAATGAATGAGAATAATCCACACAGTCAGGCGAGCAACATGGACCTAGAAACCCTTGCAAAATCATATTAATTAGGCACTGAGGCAATTGCCCAAATTAGTGATATTAAAACACAATGAACACCAGTTCCTGTAGAGGGCTCATTCTGCTTGAGCTTCCATTCGTTTATCTTCATGTATGACTGAGTCATCTTAAATTCGGATCCGGTATTACCTCTTGTCTTCTTCACCGAAACATGTTTCACCATGATAACACAGAACTTATGACGATTAGACTGTGCATTTCCCCACATACCATCATTTTAGGGACTAGTCTGCTGTTTTTGTTTGAGTGACATTGTAATTCAGCTATGTGCTGGATAATAATCTTTAGCTTCCACTGACTCTGTCTCAGCAAAACTACCTTATTTCCTCTAAAGCTTACCCACAGGCTTTGCAACTTTCTTTTGAACTTTCTCCAGTCCCTAAATTGTTTGACTGTATTTCCCTTTCTCTTCTATCATACACTTCTCATGTTGAGAAGTCTTTGGGTAAGCAGGGAGTCCCTGTGCCAACTGGCAAAGACTAGGATAGGCATGGAAAGTGATCAGGCCTTTTAAAAAGAATTTACAACTGTGGGAGCAGGGCAGGTAGAGAGAAGAGATGACAAAGGAGGGAGCAAGGAACTGAGGAAGGGTTAAGCGAAATTAGAGAACAGAAGAGTGGAAAAAGCAATAATTGTAATGATTAGTTGCCAAAGACAAGGAGATTAATATGAAGAGAGAAGAGTTTTGGCTGGTTTCCATTTCAAAAGGATGAAACGAGGGTTGGGGGGGTGGCAGATAGAGACCCACTTTACACAAAGATATTAAACTAAGAGCCTGACATAAAATGCTGAATCTTCACCAGATAAATCCTGCCAAATTAGCTGGGAAGTAAATTCTAGGTATCAGTGCAGAAAGAGATTAAAAACCCCTTTTATCCTACAGTAATCTAGAAACATGATTCCAGAACAATAAAATAAACAACAAATACTATTTTCAATCTTTTGGCTCCTTTTGCCCATATCATAAACTCAGCTGCTCTGTTGGGGCTAACCCTTGCCCAGCAGTCTATGTGGTTGGATGGCTGCCTAGTCTAAGTGTTCAGATCAAGTCAGTCTTTTCAACTCTTCTTATAAGCACAACTTTCAAAGATACTCTCTCTAAAAGCCAAGTGCTTTGATTAACAGGTTTAAGTGCTATAATCACCAGGCGTTTGAACGCAGATTAACTCATAGGCCCAGATAATGAATCTTGTTCTGTCATGTTGTTTTTAGCCAAAAGTTGAAAGAGAAAGCTTTGAAGAATGCAGAGAAACTTGACTATGAAATTTTGATGGCCTTGGGGCAGAGAAACTTAACAGAAAGAAAGAATCGTCGTTCATTCAAAGAGTATTCATGGCCTTGGAAAGACTAATGCCAAAATTCTGTGATTAATTACAGTTATTGAAGAAGCTTTTAAAAAAAAAAAAAAAGGCACCATGAATTTTTAGGTTAATCAAAGACAGAGCAATTGAAATAAACTCTCCTAGTGTCAACAGTGAGTTCTTGGTCAAATGTTCATGAGCCTCATTGTTATTTTGAATCATAGGACTTCATCTCCCAGCAGATTTCACTTTCATCCTGAAAGAAAATGGCTGACTGAACGTTATTGATTTGATAGAAAAGTGTCGATGATTTTGCTTCCTAAAAGTGATTAATGAAATCCGAGTAGTGATATTCAGGTTTTCTTGCCTGAGAAACACCATTTCACTGTGTCCTCCTAAAAATGTAAGGACTAAATATTGTGACTAGTAATTTTTCTAGAGAAGAAAATTTCAAGAACGGGGATAAAATAATTGAAAGGAAGGACCACCTAACATACCAATAGACCATCTCTGCTTCAGTAACCCAGACAAAGTTGGTCTGTGATGGATTTGCCTGCCAGAGACCATACCACGAGCTCTGCCAGAGACCATACCATGAGCTCTTCCAGAGGCAAGGGGTACCAGGCTAATGTTTCCCAGAGCAGAAGGAGATATCTAGGTTTAAAAAGAACTGCAACTTCTCTTCTTTACATTTACAGGTCACCTTTTGTTGTAGTCAGTAGGACTAATATTTCATGAATAGAAAAATCCCTTATTACCAGGCTTCAAGAGGGAACTTGGATTAAACAGTTGTGGCCACGGCTTCCTCTGTGGGGCATGGGAAGAAAAAATACGCCTTACGCCTGAGATTCCTTCAAGTTCTGAGTAAGTTGAAAGTCAGCTCTTTAGAACGTTAACTACTAAGTTTGAACTTACTACCATTCCTAAATCATCTGTTTCTAACAGATTACCTGTAACATACAAAGGAATTAAAACAGTGAACTTTACACACTTGCAACCAATAGAGGTTCCAGATTTCCTATTACTTAAGGAATGGAAATACCTCTGCTGCATTTCAATTACTTTTCTAGCAACGTAGCTAAAATGATTTGTATGTTATCCTAATTCTCACTTTTCCGTATAATCAAAATGAAGGAAATATATGTGTGTATAGAGAGATAATTTGTGAAGCCCTAAAAGGCTGACACAGTGGAAGAGACATGCAGTTTCCATTCTAGTAAAACAAACCATATGACTAATTAAACATGTGTGTTTCCTATTGCTCTCTTCACTAATTGCTGAAAATATATGCTATTTAACTAATCAGCAATAAGTTTGGGGTCACTCTCATCCGACATCTTCTGGACTACATCTCTTTCTCACCTGTTAATGAGACTTACTCATAATGTGAAGCTTATATTTGTAGACTCGAGCTTATACTTTTTAGACTTATAAGGCCATTAAACAAATTTTTAAAAAAGTTTTCTATGAGAACATTCAATGTTGTAAAAGTGGTCCCGTAAATATACTATTTTTTTTCTTTGCTACATCAGAACAAGATAGAAAAATTCAAGGTTATATTCTATTCCTGGAAGAACTGTATGTAAAATTAGAAGGGATTCTCTCTCACTACATACTGAGTTGCCACACTGTCAAGCCAAGTCCTTCTCTCCCTTCTAATCACTTCTTCATTCTCTCCTCCTTCAAAAGTTCTCCTTCCAAAATTGCCCATCTTTTCAGAAACTGTAACTCTCCTCCTAAGAAAAGAGACATGAATATGGGCAAAAGGCTGACCTACATCTGCTTAATCTAGCCCTCTTAGAATAGAAATTTCTGACAAAAGCAGGAAATTATTTCTACATTCTGTATAGTCACAAATACAATTTGGCAGAGAGTGAACATTCAATGAATAAATTAGCAAGTTCAGTCGTTATCAACCAAATGTTGAATCTGAACCTTGGCATATTGATTTAGCACAAATACAAAAATGAAAGAAGGATACTTGGGCCAAATTTCATCCAACCCCATTTTTTTAGTACAGCAATATAATGATTTGACAAAAGAAAAATGTTGCTTTCAAAAATAGATGGAAATTTTACATGAAGACTTAGCATGAGCTTAAGGTATACAAATATAAACCCTAGGTTTGCTTTTGTTGAGATTATAAAGGCCAAATAGCATGTGTATCTGCTCCCCTCTCCCTCTTTTAAAAGTAATAATAACTTTATTATAAGGTCTGGTTTGGCTGTAGGCAGAATTGAACACTTGGAGCAAAGGAAAGTGATGTGTTGGCTCCCATCACTTTCCCGTAACTCATGAATATTAACTTCTTCCAAAAGATCACCACCCTTGGGAATTTCAGTCCTTCTTTTCCAAATCTATTGTTAACATGTATTGTTTTGCCTCTCATTAAAGGAAGGCAACTGAGACTATTCAAATAAACTCAGGGTTTAAAAAAAAAAAAAAAGATGGCAGAGACCCACTTTACACAAGTAAAGAAAAAAAATTTACAAGTTTTTTCAATGTCACTGCATGTGTACAAGCTTCAACTAAAACAAAACTACTCTTAAATCCAGTATTAATAACATTATTTTGATGGAGTCCAGTAATTGCTTCTAGTGTGTTTCATCCTCTTCTTAAAAGACCTCCTCATTTAAGCAGCTCATATTTGTCTCCGCTAACGTCACAGCGTGTACACGCTAGAAACTAATTCCTTTGGCCCGGTGCAAAAAACAGTGGTTTCTCCACACCTGAAGCTGGACATTATCTAAGACATCAGGTCATCATCAAAGAGGACCTGAAGGCCCCTGTGTAACTTGTATATTAATGTTGCTCTCCTGGCAAGCAGACAACTTCATCAAAGAAGTCAGCCAAGGAGGGTCTTTAAATGGAAGTTCTGCATACGAGGAGCAAATGCATTAAAAAGTTGCTGAAGGGCATGAAATGCTTTGATGTGAAGATGGAAAACTCCAAAGCAGGAAGGATTTGGGGCATTTTGAGTCTGATTGACTCTGTGGTTTCTCTGAGCAGTTATTCCATGGGCTAAAATAAATGCAGAAATGGTATTTTGAGACCACAGCTGAAAGGGAAGCACAGTGAATTTCAATAAAAATCCAGTTGAATCTTTAAGTTCAGATCTTAAAACAGCGAGGGATATGAGAAAAGTAATATTGTTTCCTGAAATTTCACTGTTTTTAAGAAGTTAAAAAAAAAAGGAGAAAATCCCATTTATTCATTTTTATTTTTAGGAAAAATGTTGAGTCCTTATTGCCTAGAACCATATGGTAGATGCTCTAAAGTCCCCCCGCCCCTCCCCCTGCTGCAAAGAAGATCTTATTTCTTTTATAATTAAAATGTTGGAAAGAGGCCTTTTAATAAGTAATCTGATCGAGGTAAAGTTCAAAGAGGGGTAAGCACATATATTATTATCTTCTCACATTGTTCCTTCCAGTGGTCAGATAGCAAATCAATTTCATAGAAAGCTGTTTCAGTGGGCAATGATTTTATGCCATTATGGTAGTTATTTACAGATCCTCCTTGATTTATGATGGGGTTACATTCTGACAGACCCATCATAATCTGAAAATATCTTAGGTCAAAAATGCATTTAACACACATAACATACTGAACATCATAGCTTGACATAAGCATACTTTAAATATGCTTAGAACATTTAGCCTACAATTAGACAAAACCTCACATAAAGCCTACAATAAAGTGTTGAATGCCTCATATAATTTATTGGATACTATACTGAAAGTGAAAAACAGAATGGTTGTAAGTGTAGGTTTGTTCACCCTTGTGATCACATGGCTGACCGGGAGCTGGGGCTGCCCAGCATCATGGCATAGGACAATATATCCCATCACTAGCCCGGGAAATTCAAAATCAAACGTATGATTTCGGCTGAATGCGTATCACTTCCACAACATCATAAAGTTGAAAAATTATAAGTGGAGGACCAACTGTACTTTTACCATCAGATGCATCAAAAAGAACAAAAATTAAGAAAACTCAAGCAGAACTCTAAACTTAAACAGTATTTTCTACAAAGAGTAATGGTAGGATATACTGAGGTTATATGAAATTAGATATGTAATGAAACCTCAAAAATGTAACATGATTAATTATGCAAATATTCATTTTTTAAATAGAGTCTTAAGGCTTGGAACTAAATGGAAAAATAAATAGAAGAGCATAGTTAAGAACGTAGCCTTCTGAATCTGAGTACCTCAGTTTTGAACTCTGGCTCCAAAGAAGTTACAGATGGATGACTTTGGACAAGATACTTGAGTGTTCTGTGCCTTAGTTTTCCAAGCTGTAAAATGGAGATTTTAATAGAACTTTCTTCATAAACTTAGTATGAGGATTAAATTACTGAATATATGTACAGTTCTTGGAATAGTACCTAGCACTTAGTAAGCTCTCAATAAATGCTGGGTTTCATTAGTGGTGGTGTGGGATACTAACACAAATAAACAAACAGCCCAGCAAACTCCTAATCAGGCATCTGGTTCTGTGTCTGCAACTAGTTAAATTCCCCAGACCTCATTGAAGCCATCTATAAAACGAAAGGGTTGGGCTAGGTCATCTCTAAAGTTCCAAATTTAAAAACATATTACTCTAAAACACAATTGTTTGGAAGTATGCTACATGTTCTGCCAAGTTTTTAAGGTGGAAGGTGATACTATTTTAACACACCATATTCTAAAGCACTTACTTACACAAAGATGTAGTTCTTGGATTCTACTTCCTCATCTTGTATTTTCTCTTTGACCAACAACTATGGAAATTCATTTGTTGCTTCTTCTGGGAAAAAGGCTCTTGCCAAGCTCTTGCCAAGGTCACAGTGATTTTCACGTTGCTAAGACCAATGGTCACTTCTTGACCTCGTACTCACAGATGATTTTCCCCCTTTCTCCATTCACCAGCCAAATTGTCTTTTTAATAGATAAACAGGTTCTTTCATTTCCCTGCATAAAATCCTGAAATGGTTTTCCACATTTATAACACATTAAAAATCTCCTTGAGTTCTGTCATCCATCATGATCTAGACACATCCAACCTTATTTTCTACCCTACTCTCCTTGCTCATCGACTTCTCTCCAACCACACTACCTCAGTTCTGAACTTTGAACACCCTGCACTTATCTCAGACTAGCTGGTGTTATCAGAGGCACCAGCTTGGAATTCTTTATCCACAGATCATGGCTGGCTCCTTAGAGAGACCTCCCTGATTAATCAGTACCCTAGATCCCTTGTCTATATTTTCCTATCTCATATTTTTTAATGAAACTGAAATTTTCAGTTATTATCTGAAATTATATTTATTTTTACTATGTAAAAAGAAAGTAAACTCCATGAAAACAGGCACATTATCCAGCTGAATGCCAAGATCAGAAAAAGTTCTCAATAAATATTCATTGAATGAAAGATAATCCATTTTCTCTTACATCATGACCAAAGTGTTCCCTGCCTTCCTTCATCACCCTTCATGTCAGTTCCACTTATTTGATATCTGTCACAAATTATTCTGTATTTACCCCAAAGATACATATGTAGTGAAAAGAAGGGCCATATGTATCCCAATGTTCATAGCAGCAATGGCCACAGTCGCCAAACCAAGATACCCTTCAATGGATGAATGGATAAAGAAGATATGGTCCATACATACAATAGAGTATTATGCCTCCATCAGAAAGGATGAATACCCAACTTCTGTATCAACAGGGACAGGACTGGAAGCGATTATGCTGAGTGAAATAAGTCAAGCAGAGAGAGTCAATTATCATACAGTTTCACTTATTTGTGGAGAATAAGGAATAACATGGAGGACATGGGGAAATGAAGAGGAGAAGGGAGTTGGGGGAAATTGGAGGGGGAGATGAACCATGAGATACTGTGGACTCTGAGAAACAATCTGAGAGTTTTGGAGGGGAGCGGAGTGGGAGGTTGTGTGAGCCTGGTGGTGGGTATTTTTGAGGGCATGTATTGCATGGAGCACTGGATATAGTGCATAAACAATGAATTCTGGAACACTGAAAAGAAATTTAAAATAAATAAATAAATAATTTAAAAAATTATTCTGTATTCTGGATTTTTCTTCTGCGTGTATGTTCTAGTTCTCCAATTATAAAGTGACTTGTGGGATGAAATTGTGTCACACATTGAGTCTCTCAGAAACTAGTGGGCCTTTTTCACAGTATCTCACCCAATATTTTTTAACATATTAATTTTAAAGGAAGACAAACTGACTGTTAATTTATAAAAACTAAGTTACCTGTAGCCAAAAGGAGAAAAACAATACAGAACAAAAAAGTGCTTAAATATTTATAAAAACTCTCTATCCAATAGTTTGTCCAAAACCGACACATTGTCCTAGGCAGTAGGAAGCAGTGAGAGATGAACTTCAGTTTTGTTAATGGACAATCCAAATTATTTTGGTTCTTTGAAAAACTGATTTGTTACCCATGTTAAGAACAATCGATCTATAGTCTAAATATTAAACAATGTAATCTAAGGAAAATCTAATCTCAGTTGAATGGATTTTACTTTACATTTTACAAATCTTACGGTAGCTGGTACCTAGGAGCAGAATCTTCATTGTCTTCGTTAACAATCAGAGTCATATTTCTAAATAACAACTATTATTTTGTCTCTTCTGAGTCTGACATTCTGTCTTGATTCCTCACCACTATACTCAGCAGTTCAAACTTCTTAGCATGTCTTCTTAAGACTTTTCAGGAGTGAGCCTCTATTTACAACTCAGTCTCACTTCTTACCATTCCCTTGCCCCTCTTCAGAGCTCTTTTGTCCAACCCCCCAACAGACACAGAGTTAGCTCTAGACAATAAAAAAAGCACATCTCCTAGGGAACTCCACTACTTCCTCCTCTACAGTATTTTCTCTGGCAGAAATACTCTGACCTCTTACCCTCTCCTTAGTTGTTTCACTGACACTCATATGCTGGGGAGCACCCCTTCCAGCATGCCTTCCCTGATCTTGTCTACCTCCTACCCAGATGACATTAGGCTCTTCGTATGATCTCATAATGTCTTGTGTTGACCGCCATAGAGTGCACATCTCACACTACAAAATGGTCTCTTTTTACCAGGCTGTCTCCTGTAGTCAAGGACAAGTTCTCCCCAACTATATCCTCAATAACTTACATATAGCAGGTGCTTAAGAAGTAGTCTTAAAGAAGTGAATAAATGGATGGATGAGATATTGTCATCGACATGGCTTATTAAAATGAAGATTAAATAATTACTTTCAGGGACGCCTGGGTGGCTCAGTTAGTTAAGCAGCTGCCTTCGGCTCAGGTCATGATCCCAGGGTCCTGGGATCAATTCCCACATTAGGCTCCCTGCTCTATGGAGTGCCTACTTCTCTCTCTGCCTCTCGCCTGCTTGTGCACTCTTTCTCTCTCTGTCTGACAAATAAAATAAATAAAAATCTTTTAAAAAAAAATAATTACTTTCAGATGTAATTTACTTGTATGGAAAAAAGAATCACAGTGTGACTAGAAATTTTACAATCAAAATCAGCAATTCACTATCTTTGGAGTAAGAATAGTCACAGTTCTTTGCTCAAAACTATCTTCTTCAAAATGATTAAATTATTCCAACACAATCTTTTAAACAAATACCTTTATAAACATATCACAAAGATGCCCATGATTACCAAATAAACATTGATATTTCTCTCATTTAACCAGCTTACCTTTACAGACCTTTAATAAGCAATAAGAGAAAAAAAATATGGTTAGAAGATATAGTCAAAAACTCTTTTTAGGTCTCATTTGAAGGCATGATTATTTGGCAAATATTACCTAAAAACATCTTTGAAAAAACTTCTACAGTTTTTTCTCAAATTTTAAATGCATGTTGTGTCCCTCTCTAAGGGCAAAATATTTGGGAGTGTTTCAAAGAAATTATATCTGATATGTTCACCTTACTGTTAACCATATTTTGAGTATTTTAAAGAATAAATGCCTTTGGGGTGCCTAGGTGGCTCATGGGTTAAGCCTCTGCCTTCGGCTCAGGTCATGATCTCAGGGTTCTGGGATTGAGCCCCACATCGGGCTCTCTGCTCAGTGGGGAGACTGCTTCCTCCTCTCTCTCTGCCTGCCTCTGCCTACTTGTGATCTCGATCTCTCTCTCTCATCAGGTAAATAAATAGAATATTTAAATATCTAAAAAAAAAAAGAATAAACGCCTTTAAAGGTAGAAATAATTGTGTTATTTTTTTCTGGTTTTATTGAGATATAAGTGACATATAACACTGTATTAGTTTTAGGAGTACAATGATTTATGTATAAGAAATGATTACCACAAGTTTAGTTAACATCTAGCACTAAACCATTAATGTAATCAATTATTATTTTAATTAACGACCCATTAATAATGTAATCAATTGTTAAAATACTTGCCTTATTTTAAATGGAATTACTTCAGGGGAGATAATATACAGTTACCCCAATTCTTGAGTCACATTAATGCAGCTCTTTGTGGTTGGGCTGGTCATTGTCAACAAGCCTGAGATCTTTGGGCCTGTCTAGCTGACAGGGTGCACACAAGAGAGAAAACAAAGACCCCCAGGTAAAGGAAAAATGAAAATCAGAATGAAACAGAAAACATCTGACGGTAAAGATGTAAAGATAAAGTCTTTCTGAGTAGACTTGTCGATTAGACTTTATCTAAAGCAATAGTTTTTGGCACAAGGGCAATCACCTACCACCACCACCACCACCACTCCATAATAATTTTCCCTTCCTTTCCTTGACTGAGTTCTTGTTTACCTCGGTTAGGAGAAGTCTACACAGTTGAGGGTCTACAGTTCTACCATGAGATCTCCTCTTGGAAAAAGCTGGTCATGTGAAGGAAAGAGAGTTTCTCTCCGTTCTCCACAGATGGAGAGAAGCCCTGGAGAGTCCATGGAGCAGCAGACTGGGGAGGGTGCAGAGAGGTGAGGCTGATCCAGAGAGAGGAGCCAGCTCTACAGCAACGAGGAACACAGGCAGAGGCATGCTGAGTGCAGGGCAGACCAGGGCTAAGGACCTAGACTTACTTCTTCCCCCTCCACCCCTCCCGTGCACACACAACAGACCCCTGGGGAGAGATATCCAGAAAAGTGAACTTCCTCCTAATCAAGGGTATATAGCCCAGACATTGACATACTGGATACTGCTCTAAATTTATCTCAATATTTGGGAGCACTTCATATGTCCTGTAGGAGGCAGGGCCCCTCTCCTCCTGCAACTCTGCTGTATCCCACCTTTCTCTTTCACCTGTGCCCTAACTCCCTCTCTCCCTCCTTCCAGTGGGTGCTCTTTGGGCAACTAACTCCATTTTCTGATTGCCCTGAAGCAAATTCCTAGTTGCTGTCCAAGGTAAAAACACAGCTTTCAGTCAAAATTTGGACTCCTTATGGTTTTGAGTTTACAGGTTATATGATAATGAATCAAAAGAAAAATATTTATCTGATCACTAATGATAATTTTGTTATAAATATAAATATATGACACAATGACTATTTTTGTTAGAAGTTACATTCACATAGTTCTTACTAAATTTAAATATAAGAAGAATTTCTAGTTTATCCAATAAAGCATAAATAACACATAGGCAATGATATAGAGAACAGAAAATATTAATCACATTTAAATAATTATTAACCTAATTTCTGGGTTTAAAGTCACTAAACAAGTGTTAAAAACAAGACAACACTCCCAAAATGGAGTCGTTTATGCTAAGCTCCATATCAGGAAACTGAGGCTTACGTTAACTAGTTTCAACCCTCCCAGAAATGGAGTCTTAAACCAATCAGCAATCTCCTGATCAGCATTAGTCAGGTAATCTCCCTGACATACCCCTGCCATCCCCTATAAAGAAAGCAACCTTGCAACAGTAAATCTGCTTTCCTATACAGCTTTAAAAAACTCTACCAAAGGAAGAAATATTTTAGGAAGTATCTGAGTAGAGAATGCTTTTCAAATTGGAAGACCAAAGAAAGACATGAAGGAAAAAAATTGTTCTCGGCACAGATGAAACCTGAGAAAAGTATCTGAAGTTGGAGTTGGAATTACCAGGCAAAAAAATCATAAATGCACTTACCTAAGGCAAGTGCACTTTGAAGGAGTAAAGGCGTAAGTAGTTGTGTTGGTTAAAACACTCCAAAACCCCTTATATCCTTAATAGGCTATTTCCATTCCTTTTAGGTTTAGCATAGCATTGAAAAAATGGAATGCAAGGCGACATTTGAATTTATTTAACTATCATGAAGTGATGTTTGTAGTG